CTCCACAAGCAGACGGAGCACGATTAGCAATCACACTTCCCTGTGCTGGAAGTGTTTGGAAACACTTAACTGGCAGGATGGTTTTTAGGCTAAGATGAGGCATGATGTGCTTGTTAGCCACTCTAACGAGTCCTTCGACAAGGGGGATGGCTCTGCTCAGCTAATTGCGACGGCTGCTTCAGTGCTGCGGAAACCTGTCTATTAGAAACCACATTTCACAGGTGACTGAACAACCATCAGATGGTAGCAGCTTTCATTTGTTACTGACCCGCATTCACTGCCTCAGCCTCAGGGTGGAAGGCACGATCTCCCCTTACTAGCTCAGAGCTGAACAAGTCCTCCATGCATAGTGAATTATGAAATGTCAACAATATTTTCCAGATTCGCAAGGTATTGCATTGAACCAGTGTTTTGAACTAGCATATTACCAAGGAACCAGTCTGATGATTTCTATAAAGAAGACTTCGTGGATGCATTTTACTCATAAAATGTCAAATTCTGCATTTCTTGGTGATGCAAATACCTGAAGAATGAGGGCACTTTGGACTGTTATTATAGAATACATCATTGCATATCTACAGACTACGGGTGTTTACTCCAGTCCCTATCCTTCACAGAGAGCATCACAGAGGTGAAGAGACTTGGTCTTTTGTAGAGAGAGGATTGGAGTCTTTGTTGAGGAACAGACATGACAGCGACCAGACCAAAATTTATCCTTCCAGTGATGGACTGAAAAGCAACTCCACTATCAAAATTAAGAAGAGAACTTAGCATAGCAGAGTTACCTTAAACTGAGGATCCTATGAAGATCCAATAACAAATTTTACCCTCTTTGGACCCTTGGCTCCTTGAATGACACAATGGATTCACAAAGCTGCGGAACAAACCACCACATGTCACCAAGTCCTCTACACCTGGTTGGTTACTTATCTTCCACCCAGACCGACACATAGCACAGGGAAAGAAGAAACTCTACTTTTCCCAGTTAACAGCCATTTGGTTCACATGATTTTGTGTTCGGTCTCCAGAGAGCACTCACAGCCACTTCACAACTCTAGCTATAAAACATCCTAATCTCCTATAGGTTTATACTATTTAATACAACAAACAGTGGATTGCACAAAACCTGTGGTGAATCCTACCACTATGACAACTGCAGATCTACACAAAGAATAACATTTACTTTTCTTTACATTTAGATCTCTGAAGTGCAACCTTCCAGAAAGCACAATGCAGTAACACAGACATCCAGCTGTAAAGTCGCATCTTCAATTAAATGTAACAGCAATAAGGACCAACATGTCCCAGAGCCCAGCGCTGCTGCACTCTCTCAGCTCCCACTGAATTTTTGGCAGTCTTTGGCAGCGTAGAAGATTTGGCCTCTCCAAAGCGACTGGCGTCGAAAAGGGCTTTGAAGGCCTGTAGACAAACAGGCTCTGTCACAGCATCTGTTAGGAGCAAGTTCCCAAGGTCAAGGACCCTCATCAAGAATACTGACAACAGCTCCCTGACATTTAACTCTCCCAGCATTTATCCCTCCAGAAACAGCCAATCTTTGTAAAATGTATACAACAAACATAATGATTTTGGCATGCGTTGCCCTCAGGGCCAAGTATTGAAGCACTGTTTATAATCTACATACAATTTTCAGGCCAAATAAAAATAAAGCTGAATTTCTGTTCAACATTGTTTTTCTTCAGAATGTTACTGATCAAGAAAAAACAGTTTTCAATGCTTGCACCACAGAAAAGACTGGATCTGAAATATAAAATGGTCATAAGACTTCCACCTAGTATCAGTTTTTGTTTTTTTTTTTCCTCTACATTATTATTCTCAGATATAATATGGTAGTTTTATTCATCTTTTCACAGAGCCTTGGTACCCTAAATATGGCAGCATGACTTCTGCTGGAGGAAGACAGCATTTATTACAAAATTAATATATGCAATGAAACACATGAATAAGGGTTTGCTGTATCCAAACCCTTTACTGTAAATTCTTCATGGAACAGATTTCGTTCTATGCTGCTACTTTTACATTCTTAAAATAATTTTCAAGATACAGAACACCACTGGAAGAAATAGTTTTAACTTCATTACTGTATTACTACCAATAAGATCACACAGCAACTAACTTATTTTTCATTACACAAATTGGAAATGTAGTGGCACAATTACAAGTGAGAACCTAAAAAGTGCAAAATTCAGAAAAAAGCCATGCATGCAGCTGCTCCAAAAATAACCATAGTCAGATAAAAGTCTGAAAGCAATTATTTTGACCGAATATTGTACACAGACCACTGCACTAAGCTTCTATAATTAAACAAGACAAAAGGTCATATGGTGCCTAACAAACCATTTACTACATTAATTATATTCAAGTGTGGCAGTCTAATGCTTCATAATAACTAACAACAAGGGAAATAATTTAAAGAAAAGTATCTGATGCTGTAAATTTTCTTTTCCATTCATCAGTACCAATGCTACTAGCTAGTCTTTCTAGTACACTTCAAAAGCACAAAAGGGATGCTGCTTAGTGTCAGGAAGAGCTTTTTAAGGGTTGTAAACCTTTGCTCAGAGGAACCCAGCAGTCTTACTCGACAGAAATTATTTCTGCACTACAAAAGTAGAAGTAATGCCAGATTTTGCATTCCTTGAATTGAGTCCCCTATGCCTTTGTTCCAAAGTTACTGGGTCACAGGAGTGCTTTTTTTTTTTTTTTGTAGCAGTAACAGCATCTCAACAGACCTTCACAAATCTCAGTTTTATTTCTGACTCTGTTCCCCAGATTTGCCTTCACACTGATCACAAATCATGCATATACATCTGCAATATTAACAGTATTTGCAGCAATTTATCATCAAGATAATTAATATTAGAGGGGTACTTAATATATTTTGGCTTCTTGTAATGCCATTAGTAGCTAAATATGAGGAAAAGGAGCCAACACCATATGCCCAAATAGTTCAATGCGGACTGCCAGCCAATTGCTTAGGAAATACAGAAAAGTGCCCAGAACACAGTCTGAAAATTACTGCAGAGAGATTTGCATACAATTTCTGATGGACAAGAAGTATTGCAAAAACTCATGTAAAACCCAACATCCTCTATTATTATATACAGTAACTTACACACACAGCATCAATTTGGAATACAATCATTAGGATACTATCAAGAGTTTGGTGTTTTTTTCTTATTTAATTTCATTAATCTGAAATAAAAAAGAACAACAAAAGAATCTACAGGACTAGAATTATTTTCTATTTCGCTTACATTTTTTAAATAGTATATCCAGGTTTATTTATACACAACTTTGTGTTTAATCCAAGAGTGCATAGGAAACAATCACTGTGAAGATTTCAAAGAACAGAGATAAGGTGAACATGCTTATAATTTCCTATGTTTCTACTGGGATACTTATGTATGCAAACCCAACATCCTTTTTAAGTTCATTTTGTAAAGTTTTTGTAATACTTTCCCTGGTTGCTTGGCCTTTCTTTTCCTTTCCTCAGTAGGAAAGGCATCACAAAACATAGACGTTGAGGTCTGCAACTTTGCAACAAATCTCTAACATTTTGTACACATCCCCCAACCCTGAATGTGCAGTATGGACAATGCTGGGAAATCCTGTCCTCTGCCGAGATGAACTGTAGAAGAAAAAAAGAGTTTTCTTAGTGCCCATCAGGAGTTGTGAAGGTCATAAACTCCATCACAGAAGACTTCTGCCTACAAATAGGTGAAAGTCTGCACTTACAGGATCTCAAACCCAGTACTTTTCACAGCAAATGGGAAGTGAAGCTGAGGTCTGCCAGGATGTACCTTTGTGTTTGAATACACAGGCAGGACCTCACCTCCAGACTCTGCGAGAGCAATTTCATCACATCTTCCAGCAGTGCAACTTTCAGTCTTAGCAAGACACACACTAAACCAGCAGGTAACCACCACAGCATTTCCAGTCAAATCATCACAAAAGCAAATCTGAAGGAAAAAGATACCTAAATACCTCTAAACTGGATTTAAAGTTTAAAAATATATCTGTACTCAGCAAATTTGCAAAAGCTTCATCTTTAAATGCAAAAATTCTTTCCCCCCTGCCCAAAAGCCCCCCTCCCCCAACCTTATCAAAATGAGCTGAATTACTTTTCAGTGAGCTTTCCAAGACAAATATAAATATATGTATGAAAATTACCTGGATGCAGACACCACGCCTGGAAAGTTTCATTGCAAAGGGTTAAAGTTCAGAAAGTTTGCAAGACTGAAAAAGGAAAAGCAGATTGAAAAGCTAGCAAAAACCTTAACCTTGAGGTCTGCTGCTGCCTCCAGCCTATTACTTAATATTTCTTCCTAGATGAAGAAATGAGATGACTAAATCTTACTCCAACGGTTATCAAGTAACATACTCAAATGAGTAAGCTGGCAAATTTTATTTGCAGCACTAAGTGAAACACATTACCATGACAGAATAAACCACAAATGATAGTGGAGCATTAGAGAAGATAATGTTCCCAGTAAAATATACAAGCAGTCCACAAAAGTGATCTATGTTGCTTATTAGAGGTAAATGCAAAGAAACGTTATTTTTTCCTCTGAGGATATCGATTTTTATATGCTAATACGATTGCTAACTACTTACTAAGCGCAATCTGCACAAGCAAATACAGAACTAATTAAAAAAGCCCTGAAAAAGCAACCGCAAGAAAAGGTCTCATTGAGATTCCTGGAAAGCACCGCTTCCCCAAACACATCTATTCAAGCCCTTTAAGCAGGCGAGCCCTTCCCCAAAACACACCCCGCACACTCCCCGCCTGAAAACTGTTAGAGCCAAGAAGCCACCGAGCCGTGCCACCTCCAGTCCCTATGGCTGCGCGGAGAGGGTTTTCCTCCCTCCCAGCGAAAGGCTGCGGAGCAGAAACCCTCCCCCTTCGGAATAAAACCCCCAAAACCACCACGAAGCCGACAAAGCACCAAAAGTGCCCTCCTCCCGGGGGTGCCCCCACGTACCTCCGGGGGCGCTCGGGGCGTTGCGGGGCGCTGCCCCCCGAGGCTCAGCAGCAGCAGTAGGAGCAGGAGCAGCAGCAGGAGGAGCAGCAGCAGCTTCCCACAAGTTGCCGCTCCCCCCGCATGCTGGTGGCCGCCGCACGCACAAAGCGCAGGGGCTTGGGGAGGGAAGGGGGGGGCGGCGGCGGGCGGCACCCCCGCTCCCCCCGCATCGCGACGGAGGTGACACGGGGGGCTCACGGCGGCACCGCCCCCCCCTCCATCCCTCCCTCCCACCCACCCACCCGCTCTCGGGAGCCGCCCCCCGCAAGAGGCCGGCCCCCCTCCCGAGCACCCCCTTCGTTCCCGGCCCCTCCCGGCATGGGGACCCCTTCCCTTTGCTTTCCCCCCACCCCCCGCTGTTACCTTTGGATGGGGAGGGGGCGGCTCGGGGGGGCTGCCCCGGGGCCGTGCCGTGCCGCGCCGCCCGGCCTCATTGTTCGGGGAGGGGGCGGCCCCCGGCGGGAGGGGCCGGGCGCTGCGGTGAAGGGGGTGGGGGGGCACCTTCCCTTCCCCCGGGGTTGGGGGGGGACAGCGCTGAGCTTTTGGGGGGCCGTGGCGGAGGAGCTGGAGGCGGCCGAGCTGCCGCCGGGGCTCCCGAGTAGGGCGCGGTGGGAGGGAGGCGAGCGGGCGGGGGCCGGGCCGGCAGCGAAGCCCCCCCTCCGCATCGGGGAGATGGGGGGAGATGGCAATGGGGGGCTTAGGAGGGCTGTGGGGGGCTTAGGGGGACCGGGATGGAAAGTTGGTGGCACCCCGAGCCGGGGAGATGGGGCTCCCGCAGCTTCAATCGGCTTCGGCTCTTTAAGGTTAGGCTGCGTTAATTAAAGGCAATTATTTGAAGCCCAAAGGTCTCCCGAGAAGAACCGCCTTAACCCGCTCGTAAAAGCGGCGAGGGAAAACAAGGCAGCACCCGGCCGCCAGATCCGCGAGCACAAAGGAAGCGAGGGATCAAGTAGGTGGTAAAGGGGCTGCGGGAAATCCGCGCTCCCACCGCTGCTCCCGCACGGCACCCATCGCCCCTGCTCTACTCGCAGCGCCGGGGAGGACGAGAAATGTTCGCAGTGCAATTGTTGCTATCCCTTCTCAGCTTGCTGAGCATCTAAAAATACCCTGGAGCATAGTTGGCTGCCTTTGTTTAGATCGACTCGTGTTTTACTTAGTCTGCTCCAAGGAAGTTTTCACCTAGGAGTAATCAGCACAATGCTTCGATAACCTTCATTGTGCCGGATCTAAGCTTTAAGAAGTGGCCGGGTAACAGGTAACGCCACTCTGACTCTCACTGTGCCCATATTTGCTGAGAGTAAGATGAGCAGAACAACGTCCCTGCAAAAGGCATGCCTTCAAAGCATGGAAACAAGTGCTGAAACAGACACAAATAGGTACTAAAGGCAAAAAAAAAAAAAAAAAAAAAAAAAAAAAGGCAGTTAGCTAAACTGAGATGTAACTTCGGAAATAGAAGACACAAAGATGTGAAAGAAAAACACAATCAGGAATGGGTTAACATTTTTAAAAAAAAAAAAAAAAAAAAAGGTTGTAGAAATAATACTCCACGCCAAAAGCAAATAGCGACTGTAAATCCCAGAGAAGTTCATCCACTTATTTATTCCATTTAAGTGGGAAGTTTCATGAATTGCAAAGCAATTAATGAATAAAAATGACATTATTTTTTTTTCCTCTCAGCCTAGGACATTGGCAAAACAAATTTCAAACCTGGAGCTAATTTCTTCTAAACTATAAAAATCCTAATCCATTGGTGTGACAAATGATGTGATACAACTGGTTTGATTATCTCACATAAGTGAGATAGGACTGAAACGGACTGCGATGTAGCAATATGTACAGATTGGTGCTATGGATGCATTGCTGCTTGAGGGATATCCCTGAATACTATTCCTTCAGAAATCTAAATTTATAAACATAACCAGCAATTAAGTAATAGAATTTTTTTCCCCCAGGCTTGCTGCATCTATCTATAAAACAATGTGCTGGCTCATACAATAAACCACAGGCACGTGTTTTAAGAAAGTAAAAGGTAGATACTGTTCACTCTTTTTAAAATTATTATTTAATTATTTTCTTTTTGAAGGAGGAATCTAAATTTGTAGAACTCCACAGACTTTGCCATCTGTTACTATTTAAAAATGTGCAGTTCTTTAATGGCTCATTTTAATAGACAGGTGAAATAGAATTCCAGTTTGGCGTAGAATGTAAATGAATAGCATAAATTAAGTGAGCATTAGAGGAAAGCCAGTAGTGCTAAGATATTCTACATGGGAGACTAAGATTAAACACTATCAGGAGAGCTTGTCACCCAAAGACTCCCCTCTCTGAGCAAATGACTTCCAGAATGGGCTCTTGGATCGGTAACAGATAGTGCTGGTTGAGCACAATTTGTATTGACTGCAGTGGGAGCTGTACCTACACATCTAAACGTAAAATTTATCTGCAGGAGGCAGGTGGAGTTAGTCTGCAGTCCGCGAAGGTTTGCTTTTGCCTTTGACATTTCGCTTTTAGCTTAGACTCTGAACTCCAGAACGGGAGAGAGCGTGGCATCCGGTATTTCTCACCATTGGCCTGATTCTGTCTTCCAATAGAGTGATGTAATTAAGAACAACTTCCCTGGAAATCAGGAGATTGAACAGGGATAAGGTCGGTGAGATCAGCATCAGGCCCCAGTGATGCTGGAGCAGCCCGTGAAGCAGTTTGAGATCCGGGGACAAAGTAATTGCTGGAGAGTCCCAGGTGGCAAAGAATTTGCTTTCACATGTTCACAGCTTGAGGAATTTGTCTTTTATATAAATTGATAACAATGGGGTAAAGTTATGCACAGATGCTGTTGCTTTGTTACTGAGTTTAACGACTGGTGTAGGTGCATCTATCACTTTGTTTTGTTACAGTGTTAGAGCAATGCATATAAATAAAGGGGATAAATAACCCGATTCACCACGGGTAAGAGTCCCAGTATATTAAAATCTGTGACACGGAGAAAGCTTTCGCCTCTCCTGGAAAAAGTTTTATAACACTTCTTTGCAGTCATCATTTAAACTGGCAGGGTACAGTACACAAAGATCCTTAAAACCCTTGCTCAGACTCATTCGGCCTTGTCAAAATACTTCCATGGTGAATATGGCTCCAATGAAGTACAGGGGAATTTTTCTATTGACTTTACCAAAGTGAAGTTTCACCCAAGTCGTTGCTATTTTATTTTAGAACCATTCTGGCTTTGGACAAAAGAGGTGCTCTTAAAGTTGTGAGTAAGAACTCACAGACCTCACACTGCCCGTTTGTCACGGTTCCCCAACAATTTTCTGCCATTCATCCCTGATGGGATGCGTGTGCTGGTTTGCTGCTCTGTTTCTGCAAACCCTGAAACAGCCTGGGGGTGCACGGCAGCCCTGTTTGAGTTGGGAAGGACAGAGCACAACAGCACAACACAGCCTGATTCCTTTATCATCCCCAGAGGTGGCAAGTCTTCAACTCCTTCAGCATCACTGCTGCAGGGCATGGCTCTTCTGGCTGGGCATCGCCTTCCTGCTGTGCCCATCCTGCGGGACACTGGGATCCTCGTTAGCACTCATCTGCCCTCTGTGTCTTATCATCAGGTATGTTTTTAACAAACTGCAGGTACTGCTGCTAGTTTCCGTGCACCTCAGGCGCATTTTGGTGTTGCGGTTGCTCAGATGCGGATGTGGATTTAGGAACAGAGCCTACTGAGCTCAATTAGCAGCTATCCCTTAGGAGGGAGCATGGCCTGGTTTCTTTTCCACATACCGTGTTGTGGAAGATGACTGGTAGAATTGCTTTCACTCAAAAAAAAAAAAAAAAAAAAAAAAAAAGAAGCCATTTTTGCCCTTCAGAAGCATCCTGATGAAATTCTCATGGGCTCACTGGCTTAGTTTTAGATGCGTGCATGTGTCTGGCTGCGCTTGGGGTTGTTCTTGCACCCTGCCTTGAAGGGCATTGGTGCATGTACAGGGTGTTTCTAAGCACTCCCATCTCTCTGTACAAAACAGATGGGAAAAAAAAAGAAGGGGAAGGTGCTTGCCAGCATGACATAGGTCATCTTTGAAGGAAACGTGTATCCTGTTGCATGTGCAGCCCAGTTACAGGCCGGTGTTCATTCCAAGGTGCAGTAGGAAATGCAGCAGGAGTGGACTCAGAGCCTGCCAACGAGTGTAAGCTGCACTATCTCTGAAGCAGCCCTGGGACTCAGAGATATCAGGGATATTACTTCTTTCTAGTTTTCTCTCTCTTGAGGAAAAGCGTTAACTTACTGCTGGCCTGACCTGTATTAATAAATAATTCTTATATTTCAGTACTGGCTCAAGAGTGGAAGCTGGTAAGAAACTCACAGCCTATTATTTGCTTTACACTCCCCTGTATTTGCCCTAGGCAAGAAGCATGAACTTCCATGACCACAGCGTGGACTTTCAGACAGACCAGGGTCACCTCTCCATTTGTTTACCCACTTGCACAGCTGCATAGGTTGAGCCATAGCCTATTTCTCTGATTTCTCTCTGTCAAGGAGCTGGATTCATAAGAGATGACAAAAAAATGAAATGAAAAGACAAAGATAACAGGCCTGTCTTCAGCTCAGATTTTCTGCCAATTTCTGTATTATATCAGAAGTCATCCCCATGTTTTGTAAAAGTTGAGCTCCAGTTGCATTTTGCTGCTAAAAGGGTTGAGGGTTTCCATGTCAGCAGCGCTGGGAGATCCCTCTGGTGCTCCATCCCACTGACCCCAGCTGACATCCTCCAAACTCGGTAGGCAGAGTCAGGCAGGAAAAGCCACAAACATCGTAAAGCTCCATCCTTCATACTAACTTACCGCAAAGCCTTCATGATCAAAAGAGTGTAGCATCCCAAGGATAAATGCAGCAAAACATTCCTGAAGTCTGGTTGCTTTGATGAACTCTGACAATGCTCTCATACACCTTTCTGCTGAGGGTCTGGAAGTTTCTCTTTCCCACCATTACTATTAATAGGATTGTGCCTTGATTCCTTGTTGTTTTCAATACAAGATTAGGACACTAAAATATCTTGCAGCCTTTAGACATCTTTTATTAAAAAGCAGTCAATGCAGAACTTCGCTGGAATTCAAGAACTGGATATTCTGGATATGTAAATAAACCTCTAGAGATAGATGAGTTTTGGAGCAAACCTTGTACACAAAATTACTCAAAATTAATCTCTGCCTGTACTCTGCAT